TCTTCCCCACCCCCTCGCCCACACTCCATCAGTACTACAGTCAATCTCTGTCTATACGTATGCTGGACCGCTACACGTCACTTCCGGCGTCAGTACCAGACCGTAATGTAGCTTAAGGGTTGTCCGGACATCAAACTTTACACAGCTAGGTCGGACACCAAACTTGTCGGTTACAGTAAGAGTATTGCAGCGCTTGCAACACAGTAAGATCAAATAAGTGCCGACGATTAGAAGTGTTACAAGAGAGTAACAAACACAAAACTAGAAGGAGGAGAAATAAAGACGATATGTTATATTTGATAGGGAAGAAAGAGCAAACCACACCCGAGCACCCGCCACCCACCCACCATCAAACTTTACACGACTAGTTTGGACACCAAACATTTTAGTTCCAGTAAACGTTTTACAGAGCTTGCAAAACAATAAAATCAAGTTAGTGCCAAATATTAGAAGTATTACAAGAGAGTAACAAAACACAATACAGAAGAATAAATGTAAGAAAGGATGGAATAAATTATAATAGATCTATCGGTACATGTGTATCTCACTCGGACTGCAGCCCCGAACTTCCGCTGACAATCCAAGTTTTACGAACAGCTACGCCACAGCGACTGGCGCTTCAGTTTTTGTCTTACATATTATGGTAACACATTGTCATATGTTGCATCACTTATCACTCCCAGTGAGTCTGAAATTGGTTACAGGATAAAGTATATCCATCATCCGTTTTCATTTATTCTCTTTTAATAAGACACATGGATATTTCATGTAAGTCTGCCCGCAATTTTAAAACGATAATATAACTCTAATCCCATTGACAACTGACCAAAATGAAGAAATTAGATATCTCTGTCAATATACAGAGCAAAGAAACGATCTCTGGATTAGAAGAAATATCGGAATTACATTAAATCTTTGTTTGATTTTCATTGAAAGGTTTCTTCACCACCCACCTCTTAATGGTTAAATTAACCAATTGCATTTGTTCCCATCTCTCAGAACGATTGCCATCTCGTGAGTGAGAACTGTGTTCCTATCTCACAAAGAGTGCAAAGCAATTGAAAAAGAAATTTTAAATTAAGATATTGCTCCGAAACGATTACATTTGCTTGATACACCGGGGTTTTTTTTTTGGTTGTTTTTTTTCTTTCCCCTTTTCTTTTTTTTTTTCAAGATCCTGTTCCTATAAGACGCGAAATATTAATTTGAGAGCATAAAATCCTCAATAGCTTGAGCAAAAAAATAATAATAAAAAAATAGATTGCTACGAAGCTGAAAAGAAAGATTGGCTGTAAAAGACAAGGCTGTCAAAGAAAGGGCGGCGGATGCCGACTATAAATTTGTCATCATGAAAGAAAGACGGAAAAACACAGAGTAGAATCAGCGTTGACAAGCGTCCACCACCCCGACACCCACGCCACCCAAAACCCAGCAAAACCATTGCTTACTTTTCAAGTTAGATCTGAAGTTCAGAGAAACGCACGTCATTTTAGAACTGTTAGTGTTTGTGTTCAATGAGGAGTCCTTGTCCAGAGGTAGGGCGTCAGATCCTCGTTAAACAAAATAAATAAATAAATAAATAAATAAATAAATAAATAAATAAATAAATAAAAAGAAAATGAATATCGGGCCAAGTGATAAGAATAAAAAAAAGAAGGAAGGAGGGACAGAGAGGCGATAAATCCAAGTACATTCTCACAAAATCTAACATAGGAAGAAAGAATCCTTCCTTGGAGTCGGAGCGTTACCAATTCCTGGACACGAGGTCTGTTACCTCTTGGCCCTTGGTTTCTTTAGGTTTTTTTTTGTAGGGGGCGGGGTGTAATGACTGCTGTGAGAAAAACGAAACTGACGATGATAGACTGAGCGCATGCATATCATAATATGGCTTATGGCACTATCGCCACAGTTTGGTCAGAAAAACAAATAGAAAGACCAAAGACGGTACTGTCATAATGAGTAGATAGACGACGCGGCTTGTTTGCAGCTTCGCTCCCACACTTGCTCCTACTCCGATGATGATGATGATG